GTCAGTTTCTAAGCAAGCCAACTTCAAACTATGGCTTATAAAGCTGGTCTGTTTAACTAAAGCTTGTTTCAAACCAAGATCTCTGGCTTATAGAAAACCACTCAGAATTAGGGGAAATGCTAGCAAAGTCCTTCTCCAAAAACTTGGATAAAGAGAGAAGGAGAGGGGAAAGCATGAATTTATGAGTCTTCTCTGGGCTTCTTCCTCCTGATACACATAGCAGTAAACCATAGTTTAGTGCTATGTATGAACCAGCCCAGTGAGTTTAACAACACTTGAAAAGAGGCTAAGTACTAATTTATACTCTCCTCCAGTCTCAACGAAACAGTACACAAAATAAACAAACATACGAGGGCCTACCCTTCGGGCATAGATTTTTGCCTGTAGGTGCCTCCACCAGAGCCAGTTTCACTGGAGGATGATAAGTTGCTGGGAGAGTTACGGCACTGCTGTGATCTTGCTAAGGCAATGGATGAAACGGTGACGTAAACATCAGAGCCAGGGGATAATCTGTTCAATACAAACAATCCCAAACGTTACATTATTAAAGGAACCATTGCAGCACAAAGCTTGATAGAGCAACAACACTTTTGTGGGAACTGCCACATCAGCAGTGTCAATTCATTGAGACAGTAAGAAATGAAGCCAGCTGGAGGGCAGTATGTATTTTCCTCCATTAACCTGCTCCCTATGGAACAGCGGTGAAAGATTAGGGAGTGACAAAGGGGAGAAATGCCTGTTTCCAAGGAGTTCCAGAAATAAAGTTGCTGAGTTGCAGTTGCTATTTGCAAGCAAGGAATATTAACACGTAGCATATTTTATACAAATCCCAAATAAAATGTGATTTAACTAAGCACCTCAAAACAAGCTTTAGCAAACCATTTTTTTAAACTTTGTATTTACCAATACGATCTGCAAAACATGCCACAACTTTGCAAAATCAAATAATGGAATTTTAGGTAAAGCACATTTCCTCAGATAGTCAAGAAAACATGATGCAGGGTATTTACAGATACAAGTCCTTGCATCACAGGAATGCTTCATTTTTAATAGCTCTCAACAAGTATAAAAAGACAATTGTTTGTCATAAGCTGGGTGTGGGGAATCTTTGGTCCTCCAAATGTTGATGAACTACAACTCCCATCAGCCCCAGCAAACATGGGCAATAGCCAGGTATGCTGGGAATTATAGTTCAGCAACTTCTGAAGGACTATGGGTTCCCCACACCTGGCATAATCAGTAGCTTAATGGCCTGTTCACCCAAACAGTCCCTTAATTCACTTTGCACTTTGATTTACTTACACACACTGTTTCACAGGTGGTGAAACAGTAAAAAACGGTTTCTGTTTTTATGATACGAGCCTCCCTGGACGTTTTTTAAAACTGTGCAGCAGGGAGATAGTCGTACAACTGAGACAGTGCAAAACATACGTAAGAAAAGGAAACTTTCTTTGCTTGCTGGCTAGCTGACAGATGAGCGCAGCACTGCTCAACCCCAGTTGGGTTCTGAGTAGATCACAGCTTTCTTTCTGCTTCCAATGGTGACCCAGCTTTGCCACTGCATAGCAACTGCCTATTCTCTGTTGTCTGTGTTCTGGTAAACTCTAGGACTAATGCAATGTGTTACATAGGAATGCCTAAGAAGATAGTTCAGAAACTGCAGCTGGTACAGAATTTGGCAGCCAGACCACTGATTGGGGGAGGATGGTTGGAACATATAACACAAATTCTGGGTACCACTTAGTTTCTGGACTCAATTTAAAGTGCTGATTCTTACCCCTAAAGCCTTATGTAGCTTAGGATCCACAGTAGCTCAAGAACTGCCTCTCCCCACATGAACCCACCCAGACCCTGTGATCACCATCTGAGTCCCTTCTTTGTATGCCTCGTCCATGGACTATTTGGAGCAGAGCTTTCCAGGCTGTGTGTCGTGACACCTTAGTGTGTCGGCTGCAGTGTGTAGGTGTGTCACATGAACACTCCTTGTGCTCCTCCTGGGTCTGGAAAGGGATTAGTTTAACCTCCGGTTTGGTACTAAAACTGAATTACTGTGTCACGAAATGATGCATGTATAAAAAGCGTGTCACCAACGTGAAAAGTTTGGAAAGCTCTGATTTGGAAGGTGGCAACACAAGAAAAGAGAAGTCTTTTCCTGATGCCTAAAGCTGGATAAGGGACGCGGGTGGCGCTGTGGGTTAAACCACAGAGCCTAGGACTTGCTGATCAGAAGGTCGGCGGTTCGAATCCCCGTGATGGGGTGAGCTCCTATTGCTTGGTCCCTGCTCCTGCCAACCTAGCAGTTCGAAAGCACGTCAAAGTGCAAGCAGATAAATAGGTACCGCCCTGGTGGGAAGGTAAAGGGCGTTTCCATGCGCTGCTCTGGTTCGCCAGAAGCGGCTTAGTCATGCTGGCCACATGACCCGGAAGCTGTACGCCGGCTCCCTTGGCCAATAAAGCGAGATGAGCGCCGCAACCCCAGAGTCGGCCACAACTGGACCTAATGATCAGGGGTCCCTTTACCTTTACCTTAAAGCTGGATAAAGATGGTGCTGGGCAAGTCTCTCTGGGGAGAGCATTCCACAAGCAGGAGGCCACAAATGAAAAGGCCTATTCTCTGACTTTTGGCCCTTCACTCGAAGGATGTCATTGTGACCTCTTCAAGTGGGGTGGGACCCATAGCCCTGCCTTCTGTTTACCTGCGTTTTCAGGCTGTGCTTTTAGGTTTTCATTGTTTATAATGGGCTTTAATGTAAGTCACATTGGATTGCTTTTCAAGAAAACTGACCAACAAATATAATATAAAATAACAGCCAGATAGATTCTTCTGGGCTGGTGGCCAGCAGGCATGCCTTTGGCAAAAAACAGGCAGCTTGGCTAGCTGGGAAGGTTTGGTCTTGCCATGCACACCCAATGTGTGCGATAAAACTGCTGTTAAGGTGGAGTGGCTTACAAAGATTTGAAATGTACATAATAATAAATGTAAATAGTAATAAACACACACAAAAACCTAGCACAGCCAAAATTTTTGTTAAAGCAATATGTACACAACACATGCATCACAATATATTTATTTTTTAAAAATTAAAAATTAAAATTGGCTAACATGGATGAGAAATCAGCTTCTCTCCTTTCTTGTCTAGGAACTGCTATCTTAGGAGTAAAAAACACCAACAAAAACACCGTTATTGGACTAGGATTGTTTTGAGCAATATGGTACCACGATAAAACGGCTATCATATTTGCAAAGCTAAGCAGGGTGGTTGTTTTATTTGGTCAACTAGCATCCCTAGAAATGAGGTGTCTGCCATTTTGCTCAAATCAGTATTTTTAGTCTTGGTTAAACATTATTATTACCACCAGATGACTGCTCTGAAGTTCATGTCCCAACCATTTTGCCTGCTAATCATTAAATGCTGTCTGGCTGGCTGCAAGAGACTAAATTTCATTTTTAAAAATTCTACTGCATCTTGGGGCAGAAATCCAATTTCAGCAGCAAAAGCATTGGCTTTGAGGTGCTATTATTGAGAACCAGACAGTTTGACTCAGTTATCCAGTTCAAGGCTCTCTGCATATTCACTGAGGCATTAAAGCCATTTTCCAGGCTTCCCATTTGCAAAGTTTAATTTTTCAGACAAATAATATGCTTATACCAAAAATATTTTGTTCTGAAATTCATGTTGAGGTTTCGTAATGCTGTTCTTTGGCAGTTCTTCTGCCTGCGTTTCTTTTAAATATTTATTTTAGTTGTTGCTTCTGTGCCTGAGGGCACCTGCTTTTTGCTCCCTGTATTTGCCTCAAAAATATGTTGCACATATTACAAAACGTCCCCTGCTATGCCTTGTGCCTGAATTCTATAGTTATGAAATGGGTTAGGTAATGATATACGCAGCAGCAGAAAACTAAAAATGTAATTTGCAAGCTGCCTAAGGAGGGACTGCCAATATAGTGCCTTTACAGCTCAATTAAACACAGGTTCACTTGGAAGCAAGCTCCGAGGGGTTCTACCCAAAGGTGGCTTTGTGCTCCTGGAAAGTGATTTTATTTTGCAAGGTGGAGAACCTGATTTCCAGTGATTCTTCCTCACCTACCATAGCCCTCTTTACTCCATACTCAAGAGTTCCAGAGGGCGCTTTACCCCTCAAGAATAGCTCTTCAGATGGAAAGGGAGCTGCCACACTTTGTGCTCTCTGCTACTGCAAATATACACTGGCTACAAGCCACTGTCTTCAATAGGAGTTTTTCCCGAGCAAGTGTGTGGGGTTGCAAAACATGCGGCATAAAGTGTTTTCCAATCTTTGTATACTTATCAGGTTTGTTATCACAAATTCAATTTTTACTTATTTATTAAGTCTATATACCACCTTTCATGCAAGCACAGGGAGCCTTACGGTATCAGAATACAAAAATACAAAGAAGCAAAACAGTAACACCCACATACACACACCAGTTTAGAAGGTCGTAGGTGGTTTAACTGGCCAAAGGCCTGGGAGAAGAGGAATGTTTTCGCCTCGTGCCTAAAGATATGTGATGAAGGCGTCAGGAGAGCCTCCCCGGGGAGAGCATTACACAGATGGGGAGCTACCACAGAAGCCCATTCTTGTCAAAAGCAATAACCAAATTACAACTAACAAGAAGCTCCCAGCATTCCTAACACATTTGGAAGAAGTGGCTCTGTGGTTAGACTGGATGAAGGGTGGCATATAAATAACAAAACAAAACAAAGAAATGAAACTGGCCCACCTGAACACAGCAGAAACCCAACATCAAGGCTGTTTACTGTAGAAAGTAATACCTGACACTTTTAATTTCAGTGATTCTTTTCAGCTGTGAACTGCCGTATTTTTCGCTCCATAAGACGCACCTGACCATAAGACGCACATAGATTTTAGAGGGGGAAAGCAAGGGGAAAAAAATTCTGCGCAAAGCATGTAAGCGGCTCTCGCTTTTCTTGCTTTAAAGCAAGCCAAGTGAGAGCTGCTCACATGGCTTCTGTCCCGCTTTGCTTGCCCATCCCTCCTCCCGCCTTGCTGTAAAAGAGGAGGAAGAGGCACCGGGACAGGTGCTTTGCTGGCTTTACAGCGAGGCGGGAGGTGGGATGGGCAAGCAAAGTGAGAGCTGCGCAAAGCGGGACAGAAGCCATGTAAGCAGCTCTCGCTTCGCTTGCTCCCGTCCGTCCCTCCTCCCGCTTCACTGTGAAGCCAGCAGAGCAAGAGCCGCTGCGCAGCTATCGCTGAAGCCAGCAGAGCAAGAGCGAGAGCAGCGCAGTGGCTCTTGCTCTCCTGGCTTCCCAGTGAAGCGGGAGGAGGAACAGAAGGGAGCCCTTACACGGAGCCCCTTCTGTCCCTCATCCCGCTTCGCTGGGAAGCCAGCAGAGCAAGAGCCACTGCGCAGCTCTCACTGAAGCCAGCAGAGCAAGAGTGATAGCTGCGCAGCAGCTCTTGCTCTGCTGGCTTCACAGCGAGTGATGGATGGGAGCCATGGCTCTGGCTGCGGAGGCATCCCTCAGCTTGCGACTGCAGTGGTAGCCGAGGGATCCCTCTGCCACCCAGTGCATTCACTCCATAAGAGCGAAGGAGGAAAAAAGTGCGCATTATAGAGCGAAAAATAAGGCAGTTCATTGAGGGGAGAAGGGAAGTAGGAGAAATAAAGCAAAAGTACATTTCATGGCATCAACACTCTACGGTGCCCAGGACTTGCTGTGAGCAGAACATATGACAGCCAAGAGCACACAGGCTTGCTCTATCAATGTCAAATGAGCTTTAGTCAAAGCTCAGCTCTCTAGGCAAAACTGGCTGTGCCACATGATAGCATGAAATGGCAGGAAGAATAGCTGGTATCAAGTGATCAAAAAAGAAAAAAAGGGCCAATTTACTTCGTCCTTTTGGTATGCACGAGAAAGTGTAGAAATGGAGTGTTTCAGACTACATTTGCTCTGCATTCCAGCAATGTTGGGAAAATCCAGAATGAACAAAACAGGTTGGTGGTTTTTTACATGTAAAACTAACTGTGTATTATAGAAACAACATCAGCCAGAGACTTCACACGTTCTCTTCAGAAGGAAGAGAATTCTGATAAGATCTAAAATTGCAACAACAGGTATTGGTAGGCCAAGTAAAGGGCACTGCACTCTGCAATGCTATAATGACATTTTGCCTAAAAGCCGGCAAAGAATATCTGAGGAAAGAGAAGCACAATTATCTTGGAACTATCCCCCTTCTTTACTGACCACAGGGCTTAGAGCTCATACAACCACTATAGTGAGGTCTTTCTTCCAATGGACTGTGTTATTCATATACTTTAAAGCTAGCCCTTCCACTTACCGAACCAATCTTCAACATGTGCTAATCCCCTAAAAAGTTCAAAATCCATTGATTTCAATGTGCAAAAAGGGAGTGGAAATAAGGTTTTAGAGTACTGAGGCATTTGCCAAACATGAACACAAGCGGAAGGGCTAGACCTACAGGCGATTCTTTCATATTCCAATATGAACTGCTTTTGCCTTTCTTGCTTTACAAGATGCTCTTTTTTAATATAGATATAACAACACAGGCGAATGTGTTTATGCAGGTTCGGAGAGGAAAATATAATTAGGGATGTTTTTCTTTTAAAAAAAGATTTTTTTTAAACAATAGAGAAACGTGAGTATATATGTGCATTTCTTCATACTCCAGTTACTGGAAAAGTAAGGTGGCATGACTAGAATTGGCACCTGAAGACTATGAGTTAATCCCCAAATGCTGTGAACTAGTTTAGTGTCATTTCTTTTAGATACCAAATACTTTCTGGAAGTGAATAAAAACATTTTGTTGAGGTGGGGGTCAGATTTGATCTGGATAAGAAGCAGGGGAATTGGAATGTGAACTTATGTGCCTGAGAGTTCTTACTGCTGCTGTTTCAAAAGTTTCATAATGCTGCAACATACCTTGGAGGAAAGACAACACACAAATTAGTTATCTACCTTCTACTCTCCAGTGGCCGCCCGTCACTAGAAATACTGCGTGGAATATTGGCTGCTCGCTCTGGGGGAGGCATTTTCCCTTCACCTTTCCCTGAGGCAACCCTAGTGGTAGCGGGACTTTGCATCTGGGATGGCATTTGCTGCCCATGAGGCCCTTGTCCCTTGTTAGCATTTCTCTGCCATTTGTTGTTATTCCTGAAAGGGAACTTGAACTCGTATGGAACGCCGCCGTCGTTCATTTTGTATTCCATCACCGGCATACGATTAATTTCTGAAAAACTTCTGAAAGAGAAAGAAGAAAGCATAATGCAACTCTGAAATAAGGGAGAAAAGTACAGTCGTTACCTTGGAAGTCAAGCGGAATCTGTTTCGGAAGTCCATTCAACTTCCAAAATGTTCAGAAACCAAAGTGCGGCTTCTGATTGGCTGCAGGAAGCTCCGACAGCCAATCAGAAGCCACGTTGAACGTTTGGCTTCCTAAAATAGTTCACAAACCGGAATGCTCACTTCTGGGTTTGTGGCGTTCGGAAACCAAAACATTTGAGAACTAAGCTGTTCAAAAACCAAGGTTTTTGCAATATACCCTTATATGACAGCAACTGTGATACCCCTACTCTGAGTGCTAAATATGGCCCAGACTGGTTAATTATACATTAATTCTATCCCTAATTTATAGGGCACTAGCCAATCAAGTCATACTCAGACACAAGGAAATCAACTGACTTAATCTAACTAATGTTTCTGTATGTCTAACACTTGATATATCCCATAGTCTCTGGAACAGAGGTCTGGTCATATCACCTGAACTTCCAAAAAATTAAAAATCATTTACAATCGTAAAAACAGAAAGAAGAAAGACCGATTGAATTCAGTGGGCTTACAGCAGAATAAATATGCTTAGGGTTATGCAGTAAAATTTGGATTCAGAGATCCTGGAAATGGAACTCAGATCAATGGGGCTTACTCTCAGGAAACTGGATATAGGATTGCAGTCTAAATGTTATTTTTAAAATTGCATTTAGGAAATAACTGAAAACATTGAACTTCAAAAATGACAGGGTTGCTGTTCTATTCTTCTACTTCAAGGCTATGCAAGTTTTATATTATATGAACAGGTAGTTTTTGAAAAATATCTGAAAGCAACAATATGAATGATGGCTAATAACATTTGACAAATTGTAAACATCAATTGCCCTAACTTTGAGCTGACTTATCTTAAAACATGCATTTCACACAGAACTAGCTGTTAGGAAAATGAGATAGCCTCCCACATAATATTTGTTCATTCTGCTCCAGGAGAAAGGTTCTATTCTTTCATATCCTGGCACTTGACTTTTGTACAGATAGGTGTGGGAAACCTGTTGATGACCGTTAACGGCTGTAAACCCCTTGCTTTTTCCTTTAAGACCAATTGCAGTCGTTAACAGTTGTCAACAGGTTTACCACAACTATCAGTCAATCACCCATTCCCACCCCTCCCCACCCTCTCACTATATAATAAGGGTCTGGTGACTTCTGTTTCAATTTATCTGAAGAAGTGTGCATGCACACGAAAGCTCATACCAATAACAAACTTAGTTGGTCTCTAAGGTGCTACTGAGATGATTTGTTTTGTTTTGTTTCGACTACAGCAGACCAACACGGAAACCTACCTGTAACTAGAACTTTTGTATAGAGAGTTAAAGTAAAAGGTGAAACGCTTCTCAAGTTATTCTGAGGTCAGGCTGAAGGATCCAAATAATAAAAACAGGCAGGGGCTCCTTCAAAATAAGTATATATGGAGATGCCCAGCTTAAAGCGCAAATGGTGTTTTTGTTCAGTGAAGTGTTAAAATAGCTATATGACATTTAAAGATTTTGCAGTATCTCACATGCATTTATTTAAAAAGTGAGCATCACCAACATAAATGCAGCTACGAGATGCAGCTATTCAAAGGCTACGTAATTATTAATTGACTGGTGAGAATGTAAGCAAACACAAGCACTGGCAATCTGACTTGAGAATACTCAGCATCACCAATGCTTCCGTCAGAGACATTATACATGTAACACAATCCAGTGGGATGCTTTGACATATCAATGGCAATGCAGAAGCACTCCCATACTATAAGAATAAATAGGTAAAGGTAAAGGGACCCCTGACCATTAGGTCCAGTTGTGACCGACTCTGGGGTTGCGGCACTCATCTCGCTTTAGTGGCCGAGGGAGCCGACGTTTGTCCGCAGACAGCTTCCAGGTCATGTGGCCAGCATGACTAAGCCGCTTCTGGCGAACCAGAGCAGCACACGGAAACGCTGTTTACCTTCCCGCCAGAGTGGTACCTATTTATCTACTTGCACTTTGTGCTTTCGAACTGCTAGGTTGGCAGGAGCTGGGACCGAACAATGGGAGCTCACCCGGTTGCGGGGATTCGAACTGCTGACCTTCTGATCGACAAGTTCTAGGCTCTGTGGTTTAACCCACAGTGCCATTGGTGCCCCAAACATATTTATTTAAGAATAAATAGGTCCCCTTTAAAAACACAGTAGCCACCTACGACTCTACATCCATAGCCAAATTAATGTGAAATGGGACTCTTATTTTTATATAGACCAAGTTAGAACAAAATTTCTGCTTTATAAATTCAGAGAACACCCTGAAAAAAAGTCAGCAGCAGATATAACTCATTTATCCCCTCACAAATAAAAATACCTTCGTGGGGTACAATCCTCATGAGGTGGGATAATGACAACCTTCACAGTAACTGAAGTCCGCAGGAGATCAATCATTTGCTCATGGCTCAGAGTAGCTACAGCCACAGTGCAAATTTCCACTAATCTGCTGCCTTGTCGTAATCCTGCTTGCCAAGCATAGCCATAAGGTTCAACATCTGCCACAATTCCTTCATAGTTCACATGGAAACCAAGCTGGCCTAGTCCATTGCGACGTAAAGTCATTTCCACTGACTCACAGCCCTTTGTCACAAGCTGAGAAGTGAAGAGAGAGGGGTTGGGGGGTGCAATGGGAAGAGTTTAGTACAAGTATTTACATTCAGTGGGAGACAAATACATGGGGCAGTTTTTTTAAAAAAAATGGTACATGAAGCAAGATGGGACAATGACATTCCTTATTTTGATAGCTACTGCTGTGTACAGTTTTCAGTGCAAGTT